GACACTAACAGTTAGTTTTTCCTTCAAATACCTTTGGTTATAACATAGAAATGTGAAAATAGATATTCAATAAATACGACTTTAAAAGCAACAGCTATAATGACCAGTGACCTTTCATTGACATGAACTGCTAGGTCAAATACTCATTTACTCAAACTTCCACTTCCCGAGTTTTGGGACTAATATTCATCTGATGGTATATAAGATGATGACATTTTGTTTCTCTCCTCGCAGTTACAGCTTAGGTAAAGATTGCAACGGTTGTATTTCTATTCGGTATAAATGCGAAAAATACCAGAAACGGAAAAGGCGGGAGAAATTTGGTCTTAACACTGAACATCGAAGTAAAATAAATAAAGCTGAGAATAAAATGTTTTGTTTATAGTTTCTAGGGTTCCGTTGTCGGGATATAAAACTTGTTGGATGTCAGAAAGTTATGTGATCGGAGTTTTTTCACTCATGAATGTGTCAATTGCACAATAAAATACTTTCAAACACTTAATAATGCGTTAGAATCAGTAACGGTTAAATTATCACGTATCTAATTAAGAAGAAAAATGAAACCAGATATTATCTAGAATGACAATTAAACGATTGCTTGTTACCCATACAGCAAAAGGTCACCAAGTAAGGACAAAAGTCCCTTTATTCAATGTTAATGACATTTTAAAGTTTACGGCGTTTGGTAAATTTGTTTTTATTTAGAAATGTAATATATTGAATGTAACGACTTCTATATTTTTGAAGCGTAAGCTTAAATGTGAAATTAGTCATTAAAATCAGATAAAATTAAAACATTACCTTAAATATATTTGTCGAACGTGCGAAAATTCTTATCTAAAATGCTATTAAATAGATATGTCATGTTCTGGAGGGGTATTTGCTAATAATAACTGTCGAGAGAGTCTCAGAGTAAAAAATGTCTTCTCAAGACTTTTTTTTCGCTAATACCCTTCATGAATATCAGTTTTATTACACCGAAAACTAATGGAGCTGACCAAGTTAAACATTCGGAATTTTCTTCCATTATGATTATTTCGGTTTAAGGACTTTCAAAAAATTGTCAGAGTAAATAAATTTTACTTACGATTAAACGTCTCTATGAAGTACAAAAAGGCATTAACGTTTTGGCAAAAACTAGGGCAGAAAGAGTAAATAAGATATATCCCTGTGCTTATACACCGGCGGTGTTGAAATATCGACGTAATCACTCCAGAGCACTAAAGTTCATACCAACTTTTGGCGGATACGTGTCACTTAATTATTTGAGATTGCTTAATATTGTTTTGTTGACTGCTATTTGTCTTTTCGAATTTCTTCATTTAGTTATATTTTCGTTCATTTTTCTCAGAGTTAGAATTCTGATTGCCGCTTTTGGTCATGTGTTTTTCTTTTTCATTTTGAAAACAAGAAACCATCAACTCATAATATTCTGGAACTTTTTTATGCGATTGAAGCGCTACGAGAAATAGTGACACATACAGTTCATTAAGGAAGTGATTGTTTAATCCGATTTCTTTTAAACCATTATGTCATACTTTGTTTAGAAAGATTAGATTAAGCATTAAAACAAATCCATATCTTCTTATACATTGCCAAATCATGTTTGCTTTTTTTAGATCACCAATCCCAAAGGAAAAGATTAGATTTTGGATTTAAACGTCAAACTCACACCTTTTTGCCAAAGTCAAATCCAATTTACATATTTACACACCTGACCCATTTGAGGAGATTAGATTTCATATAAAAAGCATATTCATACCTTCTTATCCCAAGACAAATCATGAATAGCAAGTTCATGGACCACATATAACTGCTGTCATATCTCCCCTTTGTGAAGACCAAAGATGTATTAATGAATATGAGTGATATATTAAAATGAACCTCATAAAAGAGAGACAAAAGATCCCAAAGGGACGTTCAAACTCATAAGTCGAAAATAAACTGACAATGCCATTGCTAAAAAAAGAGAAAGACCAACAGATAAACAATAGTACACAAAACACGACATAGAAAACTAAAGACTGAGCAACACGAACCCAACCAAAACGTGGGGTGATCTGGTGCTCCGGAAGGTTAAGCAGATCCTGCTCCACATGTGGCACCCGTCGTGTTGCTCATGTTAGTACAAACCCGGTAATAAGTCTAATTCGGTAGATCACAAAAAGTCAAAACTATTTTTTTAAGAAGGATGAAATAATGGAAATAGATTAGTTTAAAAGATTCTTTTATTTCTACAAGATGTTTCTATATGCATAGCCATCCAAACACAGAAAAGGCAGTTTGTTTTTTATTTTATGTTTCTTTTGTCGGGGGGTGGGGGGTTAAAGGGGGATGTTTTTGATAAAATGTAAATATCACAGTAGTTAACGTACGTCGAAGACATGACTCGTTTGTGAATTACGGATATTAGGTGTAATACCACCAAATCATAGTACGTCACATCCAGTTGCATACGAAAATAGGTCGGAAAAAAATATTCCCTTGAATTTGACAGTTGTAGGTAATTGATCCTACTTTTCATTGCAGTAAAACATTTCTGTGTCATAAACATATATCTTGGGTATTTTAAAGCACCATTATTTTTTTATTTGGGGTTTCTATAGAATATTTTGGAAACTTGAGGTTACATGGTTACTAAAGCTTGTACACAGGTTAAAAAAGGGGGAAAATTTGATTGGTTAACTTCCAGAGATGGTTATTTTCTTATATGCAATGAAATGTTATGTGAAATTTTTTCTATAGTACTTGACAGGATAATACTTTACTCATGCCAAGTATTTCTTTATTTGAAACAAAGATAAATTCTGCACAATTTTTTGAAAAGTGCAAATTTAACAAACACTAATAGGGGAAAATCAATGGTGGTATTACACCTAATATGGGAAGCTGTACATGCACATTTGACCTTGTGAGTACTCTCATGTGTTAAAATTTCTTTCTATTTAAGTGAAATATTACAAATAATGAAATATTCTGAGTGGATTGAGTCTCCAAAACACATTTTATGAGAAAATTTCCTTGAAATAGGACTTTACCCTGAATATTAGTTGGCAGAACAAGCCATACTTAGAGTTTTGGGGAGCTTTTTCTCCTTATTTCTTATATTCTGCTATACTAGAAATTTTTCCTAAGAAATACTTTAAAAACTATATAGTTTTAAGTAAATGAAATTATTTTTAAAGCAGTAACAACAAATTATTCACCAAAAGAGAAGCTTTTTATGTCCCTCTCTGAAACGCGGCGTAAATTTAAGTTTTACGTAAGGACTTATTGAAACCTCCTTGGAGACAGTAAACTTTTATACGGATAGTTCATTCAGCTTGAATACATCAATTAATCATTTATTATAGCATTTCTATCATAACTGAGTGAAAGTTACCCCAAAAATTTTAATTATTGGCCTAAAAAGTAGAAATTTTCAGGAAATGAGAGGTATAAATGGACCAAAAGAGACCTTATAAGGAAGACAAAGAGGTCCATTAGTAGTATTTATCATCCTAAAGTCATCTTTTGTATCATATTCGACTGTTTGTAGGCAGATGAGATAAATATAATCATTTATTGGTCCACACTATATTTTATCATGATGCGGCTTGGTTTGGATTTTTCGAAGAAATTTTGCTCGAAACACTGTAGATGTCGTTTTACATTATACTAGATTTTTCTCAAACTATTGAACTGATTATGACAAAACTTGACAGGAATGCTTGAAATAACCAGTATTACAAAGGAAAAAAGTCACATTCAGTTTATTTAACAAAAAAGTCTTCTTTAGGTGTAATACCACCAAATCATAGTACGTCACATCCAGTTGCATACGAAAATAGGTCGAAAAAAAATATTCCCTTGAAGCCTGAATTTGATTTGAATATTTTCTGACAAAAAAAAGTTTAATAAATGGAACTTTTACTATTTCAAAAGTAACTAAATCATATATCAAAGTCAGTTTTTGTTTTCCTTAATGGAGTGTATACTGTTTCCTCATATGAACAGCAACGGATTGGAAACGGGAAAACATCATTTCATTAATATGTAAGCATTATTTTCAAGTTTTATATTCGAGTTTGATAAAAAAAAGTTTAAAAAAGTGTGGTGGAAGCAGAAAGATAAATTTATCAAGTAGTTCTGGTATTCCCAAAAATCAAAAATTTCGTACAAATTAACAGTAACAGCCGTTAACCTGACGCTCTTCGTTGCTACAAATAATTCTTATTTTCCAGTTTGAAGTTTGAAAATGCTGCAATGTTCCAGTGGCGGATCGAGGGGGGAGGGGTTCCGGGGGTTGGAACCCTCCTCCTTTTTTTTGACGATCAATGCATTTGAATGGGGACATATAGTTGGAACCCCTCCCCCCTTTATCCTGGGTTAGGACCCCCCCCCCCCCCCCCTTGTAACATGTGGCAATTTGGGATAACCCTCCCGTCTGAAAATTTTGGTAGGAAATACATCCAACTTCCCATTCACAAACATGCATCACACATTTAAACTCGATATATTGGTATTCCCTATAATCCGCAATAATAGTTTGCCAATGCAATACTTTTTTTGTCGAATTATTATGACAATTACAATAAATTGTTTGTGTTCCCTCAAATTTGTTCTGCTCATCCCGTCTCCAATTTATAATTCTGCCGCCACTGCCCTGTAGTATTCAGACATTCACATTCCTATTTAAAGTATTTATTCTCCTTTCCGAAGCAACTGATCTAACCCTTGGTTTTTTTTTGGTGGGGTTCGTGTTGCTCAGTCTTTAGTTTATTATGTTGTGTTTTGTGTACTGTTGTTTGTCTTTTGATCGTTATTCATTTTTTGTCATTGCATTGTCAGTTTTTCGACTTATGAGTTAGAATATCCTTTGGATATCTTTCGCCTCTCTTATCAATGTAGCCATACAATAGAAAATACAACAGAAGTGTGCACAGTACCTTCTCCCTAGAAAAAACTCTTTGAATATCATATATGTGTGTCAGGGCTGCTGAAATTTATAATTACAAATGTACTGGGTAAAATTTATCAAGATAAGCATTGTAAACTACTATAGATATGTATAACACACAAGTTCTAAAAAAATAATAATATATACAAGGTTAAAACATAAAGTTGGACACGAGGAATGTTTACCATTTAAAACTACGTATTTAAATTTTCCTAAGTTTACTTAAGTTATTATTAGCAACTATCCCTAAAATCGTTTTTCTATTCAAGAAGATACATTTCACAAAATGCTATTTATAATAACAATACAATTAGTATGCAATATTGGTGCATGGTAATTGGCTACCGAAAAGGACAACACTCCTTTAATTCATGGTTAATATCATTATAAATTGTATAGAATTTGGTAAATTAGTTTTATACTTTTATTAAATCTGTAGATTATAACGACTCCTAGACTTGAGAAGGGTTTGTTTATGATTATGTCATTAAATCACATTAAAATATGAAGGTAGTATACACCAGTTTGTTAAATCATTATAAATCCGGGACCAAAGGTTGTCTTTTAATATTTGTAGAACGACTATTGAATTAAGAAATTACGTGACTAAGGTTCATCAATTGTACCTACCTACCTGTGCAAAAATACCCAATTGCATAATGTATAGACAATGAATTTAACAGAGTCCGCCAACAGCTTATCAATGAATATGTATGCACGTATCCCAGAAATGATTTTAACAATTCTTTTTGGGTGCATTACATTTGCGCGTATTTTGAGATTAAACTTTTCTACGTTTTCTCGCAGCTTTTTATTACATTTGCGGTGCATAACATTTGCGCGCATTACCATTGCATTTGCGCGTACAAATCATTACGTTTGCGTGCAGCTTTTGATTACATTTGCGCGCGCATCCCCCTTCCGTTAGTCGAAGTCCTCTGTTCACCAACAAGGAGGTGAAAGTAGGTTTTCAAGCAGGATAAAAGTTTAATTATGCACAAGCACTATGTCCCGAAAATATCTTCTTTTTTTTTTAATGAATCTCTTTTTTTTTTATTTTATCAATTAAGGCACGTGTACATATATTGACTGACATAAATAACTTTTGTTTTTAATAAACATGAAATGCTATCAACGTATTAACAATTATGATACTGCATCCTGTCGATATTTATATTTGGCATTGCACAAGGTCATACTTTTCTTAGACTGCTTATGTAGTCTGTATATAATATAGGAATATGACAGTTGTTTTCTATTGGTTTGATGTGTTTGAGCTTTTGATTTTGCCATTTGATAAAGGACTTTCCGTTTTGAATTTTTCTTGGAGTTCGTTTTTTTTTGTTATTTTACTTTTTTCAGTAACTTCGAGTATACATAGATCGGTACTTTTTGTCTTCTTTCTTTTTTGGGGGATTTTGTTTTTGTGGTTAGTACTGATGCAACGTGCCAAGCCCTTTCCTATTTATTTTTACAATTTGTTATTATGTTTTGTTGATATACTACAGTCATAAGTTAGCGGAACGATTGAGCGCACACAAATATGTGTAAACTCCTCACATATCATTTGCCTTTCCCTTGTGCCTTTAATGCAGTGGTTGTCGTTCGTTGTTATTTGTCATATTGTTCTTCTTTTATTGTTGTAGTATACATTAAGCCATTTGTTTTATCTTTTGTACTGTTTTACATTTAGTCATCACAAGGCCTTTTAAAGCTTACTATACAGTATGGTTGTTCACATATCTGACTGTCCTTTCGTCATTAACGGATTGCTGTATCACTTACAATCATACAACATCTCCTTATTCTTATATTCATTTTAATTGTTGAAAACCTCCCTATGACTTTCCAGAGAAACATTACATTTAAAGTATAATCTAGAAGAATACACACACGATTAATGTCCATTGTTCGTATCTGACCTCTATAGATCTAGACGTCCCATTTGTTTGAATTATTTTGTGCGGATGCTGATGCTATAACGTTTGACCATCATCTATATTTTCATAAAGTTGAACGAGTATCTGAAATCGAGGGAAAAGTCAATATACCAAAAGTTCAAACAACTCAAGACACACCAATTAAGAAGTGTATTCACAAACACTAAAATGAGTTCTCGAATTAACTCAGCTTGCTATCTATACAATGTGAAAATATCTGTGTAAACCAACAACCAGTAGGAAACAGTTTGGGTGTAGGAAAATGCTCTATAAATATTGCTCGGTAGAAATCAAAAGAATCGATACTAAATGTGTAAAAATAAAGAGGCGGAAGATACCAAGGGGACATTAAAAACTCATTAGTCGAAGGAAAACTGACAACAACATTGTAAACAACGAGAATCGACAAAAAGACAGACAAGTCAACAATAACAATACGTCAAAAACTAAAGACTTGGCAACACGAACCCTGTGTAAATGATCGCGTTGACAAATCTTTCAATATTTTAATGTTTCTTACATTGTAGGACAGCAGACATACGCAGTAATGTATTATCATTGTTTATATTGTCGATATGGTAATTAAAAGTAATTTCGGAATTCATTGAATATGTAGAGAGGCTATGGCTGATATCATGAGTTAATGGCATATCGCGGCAATTTTCAAGTACAGCAATGGATATCCTTTTATATCGACTTTTGGATCAATTGTAATTCGTCCGTATCTAATTCTAATTAAATGCATTACTAATCAAATGTAATGAAATAAACGGTGGAAAAGGATTTACCTCTTATTTGAAGGTTGTTTCCTGGTATCATCTTTTCGTATTAACTTTTTTTTAAACAATTTTAACAATCATGCTGTTAATTGGAAATTCAAGAACTTAGTATTCATCTGATCGAATTTCATGAAGTAATCAACGTTTTTGTTCTACACACATTTGTATTAGTTTCTGGAAAGTACGTAATCATATGCAAATTTTTTATATCTCGGTCAACCAGTTAAATGTGTGTTTGTAGGAATGGCTTGCATTACCTTGCAAATATCGTCAAAATGTTGTTAAACAGACAGTTTATTTCGAATGACAATTTTCATTTCTGACCAGTTAAAAGAAGTCGATTGTGAGAATATAACTGTATAAATCTATCAATATTAAACCTCTTGTATAAATACAGATTGATACATTTAGCCTATCATGTTTTATATATTTAAGAATACACTGTCTAAATATTTTAGTATCGTATTTAAGTTTTCAACGCGTTTGTCGATAAATTTTTTAGTAGGTATGTCACCTTGAAATAAATTACCTGTCTTCTAACTTTTCTTAGTTACAATAGTACCTTGTCTTAATCCCAATGCATCCTTTACGAGACATCAAATTATCTCATGTCGGTTTATAACTATATTTAAACACAGGTCGATCAGTAGGTAAACATTGTAAAGAAATGAAATTGATTTGACAAAGTTCTATTGCATGTATAAAATCAAAATAAAATCCAATAAGAATTGTATTAGAACATATTTATCCCTTTGTTAAGCGCAAGCATAATAAATTTGTTTTCGTATATTGATCAAAGAACTTTGTTTGTGACCTAAAAGAGCATTCATGAACGGGTTAGTTTAAGAATTTGAAATATACATTTGAATACCACATTGACGTATCTTGTGAAACTTTTCATTTTAAACATTTTAAAATAAGACAAATTCTTTCACTCAGATATAATCTGTTTTAAATTATATGTTTATTTCGCATTACTGTTATACTTAAACATTAAAGAATTTGAATTTAGGTTTTGTACCTATCGAATCCCAAATCACCTTGCATGTCAAACAGAACTTGGCCAGTTGTATTTTTGTAAACTCTTTTGTTACGCTACTTTACTTGTTATTGCATGTACATTATTATGTAACTATATAACCGAAGATTAACGAAGCGAAGAAATTAGACAGTGTCTGAAATCGAATTCCGATCGGGACAACAGACAACCTATACCACTAATGATAAAAATTGACAGCACAGTATTGTCATGCAGACAAACAAGACTTAAAAAAACTAAAGCTGCCATACTCAAATAAAACGTTCTAGTTATATCAGGTTAAGAGCGAGACTCGTCACTACTTCTCTACATTTGTCATGTTTGTAATCTATGTCAGTACAAAAAAAGTCATATTTTTTCTGCAATTTAATATTCACCCATAAACTTTTATTTTTTCAGACATTGTCTTTATTTTTCATATGAAACGACATTGCATTTAGGATGCCAACCGCCAGCTTGACCGCACCCAATTGAACGACTTATGGCAGGATAAAATAAATTTTTGAATCAGCGACATTTTAAATGTTTTGGCTACTTCTATTCTGTATCGTCCTGAACATGCATGAAATATTTCCCACTGGACGTTAAGCAACCAACACTCAATCTATTCTGTAAAGTAAAAACTAGAAAGTACGATAAGGTTATTTATCTTTGCCCTTTCAAATAAAAATTAATTAGGTATAATCATAGTTTATCAAATGAAATCTTTCAATAGAATGTCAGAGATCAGTCTGAGTTAGGCTTTCACACAAAAAACTATAAAAACTACGAATCAGCATATATTATCTTTAATTATCTTACAAATTAGCATTAACCTTATTAAAAAAAATTCTCACAGGATTTTTTACGGCATGAAAACAATAATGTTTGTATTTAACGGTAAAGTTGTTAGTCACCAGAAATACTTGCATATGAACAATATCAATGTTTGCCCAAACATAATAATATCAATACTAGTTCAATTTGCAATTTCGGGGTCCAAATACTGATTCTAGCTACCAATTGTACAAAAGACTCTATGAAAATGACAATTGTTTCTCCAGTTTGTCAATATTCTATCAAGTTTTTGACGTAAGATTTGATCATCTAACTCAAATATCAAGAAGAGCAACATAATCATATGCTTACGTTCTGAGTATATGGGGGAAAGTTCGGGATTCTATTTACATTAAAAAGAAGGTATTCGATGTATTAGTTCATGTTACAGACCCCTACACACAATTGACAAAAGAAAAGCCCGTCATGTAAGCGTTCCTCGATTTCACTTTGAATTCCGAGAAACGTTTTAAGTCAAACATTCGATTGCTTAACGTTCGGGTTCAGGTCCCAACAATGTGCTCAATATTTTTTCTCCAGTATAATAAAGATTGGATTGTACATGAATGAATAAGATATCAATACTGCATCGAGCATAGTTATCTTGTTTAATAAATCGTTAATTTTTTGTGTTTTCTGCTATGTTAGGTCACAGTAGGTGACACTAACAGTCTATACATTTCTTCGGTGACGATTATAAGATTTTTTATGACCAATTTGTTGTTCATTCATTTTGAGACTAGTATTTTTGTCTGATCAGTCACTCAAACAGGAAGTTTAAATAAGAATTGTTTTAAATTGGTCAGACGTAAGAATATCTGTCAGATGTTTAATGTGTTAAAACTTCGATGAACTGTAATATGATTTTAAAATATGCATGGTCTATTACACGTAGTAAATTTATAATGAAAGGAGCCAACCGGATTTACTGCATGTCGCAAGTTGGAAAAAATCGTGTTTTTCTATAAAATTGAAATTTTTAAATAAATATAAGATTTTTTTTTTTTATCTAAAAATGAATAATGAACATTAATATTCCATTACTGAATGTTTAAAGATGAAGCAACGTGTAACGGACATAATATGTACTTTAATGCAGACAGACAGAGGTAACCTTAAAGTATGTTTTTAAACTGTTGTCAATAAATAGTAATATGGTATCTAAGTTAAGATAGAAATACTAACTGATTTTATGCATTATTGCAGTCATGAAATATAACAAAGTAGTTATAAAAAATAAAAATCGAAGAGTCTAACGTTTCAGAAAAAACAAAGTAGTTATGCAATAAAATATTTACAACCAACGGAAAGTCAATAAAACAACTGAATTAAAAGTTTGAGAAAAGAAATATTATGTTTGTTTTATCAATGAAGGTGATTTAACTATTTCGAGTTCCTTTGCAACAGTGGGATAATAAAATTCAGAAACTAATTTAAAAAGGAATAACTCAGACTATGATGTAAAACATGTGAACTTTTGTCAGAAAAAAGAGAGGCGAAATATACTAAAGGGACATTCAAACTCATAAGTCGACAACGCCATGGCTAAAAAGAAACAGACAAACAACAGTACACAAAACACAACATAGAAAACTAAAGACTGAGCAACACGAACCCCACCAAAAACTGTGTGTGATCTCGGAAGGGTAAGCAGATCCTGCTCCACATGTGGCACCCGTCATGTTGCTAATGTTAGTACAGAAGACAGGGTTATATTGCTATATCCAATCCATCTGGTCGTAGAACATATTTTTCTACCAAAGAGGTACACACTTTTACGAATTATGTGTCTAAATATCTAGAGAATTAATTCCTAAGACGCTCGGTTCTTCGTCGAGATGAAATGTTCTTTTAGCGACAAAGCGACCCGCTTTTTTGTTTAATTTTAAACTTGTACACAGAAACAGTTACATTTACAAAATCTGTTCTCTTTTTCTTTAGGTTTGAAGAAAAAAACAAAAAGATTGACACTTAAACTACCAGATACTTAAAAGCTTAAACGTGTATACATGAAGAAATTATTCTATGTAACACCTTTTTGAATTTACACCGGAGTTCGGTATTTTTGTTATTACTTCTTTATATGGAAATTTCAAGGAGGTTTCATCACGATAGTAGTACATGTACTGTTACAGAATTATTGTAAGAATATGTAGATATAATAGTATCATGAACTCGAAAATATTATTTTCAAGAATTGAAACAAAGACGATACATCAAAAGAAAGCGGATGATTTATGATGAGTACAAATTTATGATGAGATGTATGTATGTATGTATGAACGGCATGTATGTATGAGTACTACCATATTTGATGATGCATGGTTCAGATATATGTACGAGTACACCGTATTTGATGGTACATGGTTCCGATTGAATGAACGATATATTAGCTTTGAAAATGCTGTTATAGACCTATTGACCATCATATAAAATGCGCAATTGATCGTTCAGCTTTCAACTATCTTTATAATATAGGGTCAGTAAAATTAGTATTCATTTTAAAGCTGACATACAAAACTTTATGTTATTTGTAGTAATTACCAATAATTTCGTATTTTAGGGTTCATATAAAATATATAAGAATACTTTGAAGGGCAGTACAAATCAAACATCGAAAAAAGAGACAACATAATGACAAAAAAACAGAATCCCAACAAAACTTGGGGGTGAAATCAAGTGTCCGAAACAGGTAAGCAGGTCTTGTTCTACTAGTGGAACCTGTCGTGATACTAATGACAAGTTAAATGAGTCAAGTCGCATTCGACGAAAAGTGATGAAATAGTAATGGAGGACGGAATCGTAGGAACAATGAGGTTGTAAAGCCAATGTTGTTAAGTATCATGAGATACTACACACCAAAGTTCCAATTGCCACAGACAAAATTTTAATGTAATACTTAATAATCTAACTGCAAACGGTAGAATTGAGTTACACAGAAGAGTCCGTGGTACGAGGAATCTCAATACGACACTGAAGATGAACACAATCGGGAGGTATTATTAGGATTGCACAACCACAAAGACTTGTGAAGAAACAAGGCAGACGACTCTGAAAGGAAGGGCGATACAAACGTGTTAATCATGTTCTGGGAAGGTAGCATATCACATGTCTCATATTGAACCAATCGTATTGTCCTGTAGTCAAGAAAGACTGTTTACATAGTTTAATATGGGTTGTACCATGCCTTGTAATATTATCAAGATATGAATTGTTCGAAGCTTACAAAATGCCATTCCCACACGCTTTCTTTAAGCAACACGTCCAATTTTCATTATGATTGCTGAAAAAAAGTTACCGTTACAAAGTATCGGTTTGTTCTAATAATTACCAGTATACAGAGATTACACTCATTACATGTTCTAGGGGACTGTAGTTATATAATAATTTATGAAACTTCAATCTGGTTACTACTGAAAGTTTTTTTTTTGTGAACCTTATACATGCAGAAACCAAACAAGCCTGTACAAGTAGTAATGGTGTAACATGTCTGACTTTCTGACCTTTGCATAGAACACACATAAAACAAAATAATGTAAATTAAATGTTGATAGCACATAACTTAAGTCTACTCTTAGACTTAGGAGAGATCATCCAAATGACCATTTATTTTGTCTGTTCTTTTGTTACGAATAAATCGCTTTAACTGTGGCCGTGATCTTGTCCGACACTTTCCTTGGACGGATTGAGCTCATACATTACTAGCATTAATACAGTATTACGAAACAAAACATTTTTTTAGAAATTGCGTGTATATTAAACTCTGATTTTACCTATACAACTGACAAACTATCGAGTTTTTTTAAAATATATTTATATATTTACCTTGCAATTAACAAAGCATGTTCCTCAGTAACTACTTAAAAAAATATTTACACGAGTCAGTAGCATAGTATAAATGAATGAAAACTTCCCATTTTCAACTGTCTATTTCATCGTTTTTTGACATTTTGACATGTAGGACGGAATTAAATAATCTCTAACAAAAATGTAACATTATTTGATAATAGTTTCTCTTGTGTGAGTTGATCCAAAACCAAGACTAGTATGTTTCATGCTGTTTTTGCGTATCACATTCTCCTCCATAGGCGACAGTGAACGAGTTCTAGGTCCCTTCGGAACACTTAAAAGATTACTTCTACCTCTTTCTCCTTCTTGAATTGGCGCGAGAGACATTTTTCTGAATTGTCCTTCAACGCCTACATTATGGCTATAATTACATGCGATGGTATTTCTTCGCCGTTCCATATATGCCTTCGTTGGCTTTTTTATTTTGTCATCATCCACATCAGAATCACTGCCCGAGCCGTCCTTGTGTATTTCATTTTCACACTGATGAATAAGTATCTGTAAAGCATTGGACCCCTTCGGTAGCTCTTCTTTTTGAAATTGTAATTTTGGATTTAAAAACTCTTCTATTGTATCATCAACACTTCCTCTACGCCCACGATTATATTTGGGTCCTTCATGTTTACTTGACATTGTTTTAAAACGCCTAAATTAGTATCAATAAGTTTATATTCACACTCGGGAGTGACAATACAGTAGTCGTTTCTCCAGTACTCGTGTATATTCCGTTTTCACCTTTGTTACAGGTATCGCCGTAATGTTTCTTTCTATATAGATAATCGATTTGTTTACACGGTTAAACGGTTATTTCAAATATTGTAAAAATAAATCAGTGTTGTTCGATTTTTCTTACCAAGAAAATTATCCTTTTTATATTATACCATTACAATCAGTGTAAACATTCTTTTATCACTAATATATCTATTTATATGGAGTACACGTATTTTTCCAATGTTGTTACCGATGTTCAAAACAGATATTCAAAAGACATAGATTACATACCCTTATGCCTTCTCATAGGATAAGTCATGTTCTGAAATATTTTAAATGTCCTTTTGCATGTGTATAGAATTACGCATGCCTATTGTTTGTTGTTTGTTTTGACTTATTTAAAAGGTAATTGGTCTGTCGCTTATTGTTTAAATTATTTCATGAATAAACAGGACCGTTTGTTTATATCAGTAATTTAAAATATATGGTATTTTAAGGTCAAAGTTTTATGAAAACATTGATGATTTAAATAGGGTATTACAATAAGTGTATTCATTGACTCTTTTGATTTCTTTTACTTTAAGTTTTCTAGACGTTTCTACAGGTTTTCAAGATGGACGTTTCACTGCTTTTTTTTTATTAGAAAATTGATACATGTATAATTATTTTATATTGAACTTGTCTGTTAGAACAGTTTAGCTCCTTGTAAAGTTGTTATTTGCTCTGTAGAACCCTAGTTCAAAATATTTATGAAGAATATAAACTCACAAAACCTTTGGGCTATTCATCATTTCATATTGTTGCAAAAAGAAAAGTTGATTAAAATAAAAACCCATCACATTATGTTGTAAATCCGACACTTATTTTGGCCCCGCAAAGTACCCAATAATGGACCAAAATCCGTGAACAAAATACTCTAGGTACAACTGGACAGGTAAGCCTAACATTAAGTATTTCTGAATGGCGGACAACTTTTAGTACTAGGAAGAAGAAGAAATTCGGTTGGGAGACTTGAAATGAAAATAAAAAAAGCATTGATTCAAAAAAAAAAGTTTCTGTATTTATTAAGAAAAGTTTTTCTTTTTTAGTGTATGAACAAAACACTTAGGGACAACTTGACATGTAAGCCTAACATATTGTAGAACTTTAAGTACTATATCTGAATTGCTGACAACTTAAGATGAGAGAAAGAAAAAGAAATAAAAATTTCTTTTTTGGAGACTTTAACATAAAAAAAACAACATTTATTAACAAAAAAATCTGTATTTAATTGAGAACTTTTTTTATTTTTTTATTTAAGTTTAAAATTAATTGTTTGTCCTAGAAAGATAAGGTATTGATCTGATAAAGACATTAGATTTCATCTCCTCTCCCTACAACAGTATTCTTAAAAGAAAGTCTGAAAATGGGTAATGATCATCTATCGGCCGGAATGCGTAGAGATCTGCCTGTATCGTTACACCAGAACACATATCAACATAAAAATAATATTTAGTATAAAATACTAAAATAAATTATCCAATGCAACTCCATTAAAGTAAGTGTAAAGTTATTTATTTATTGAGAAGGAAAATGTGCCCTCTCCTAGTACATGATATGTTATATCACTCTAATGTCGGCCGCTGTAATGTTCTGATATAAAACATTTTAAATCAATAATTAAGTTGTAAATGTATGATTTTCAAACCAGTTGAGCTCTATTTATTAATTGGAGTCGTGATATTTCTAAAAATATTCGGTTTTTTTTCACGTAACTGTGCCAGCCAGTCGGTGTGTCACTAACAAGGAGACGTTTTAAATATTACAACAAAGTTCTTTCATAAGTTCTCATGAAAAAGGTTAAATCTATTGATTTGAGACATATCTAATGTGATCGTTATTCCTTTCAGAATAAAATCTAAACAGCGAATTTCAATACTACCCCTATATTCGATAAAATAAAAGTAGGCTTAAATGTTTACTACGTAGTTATTCTTCAAAACGATTATAACAGAAGGTGTATACTTTTAGGGACAAGAAACGCATTCAGTAAAATATCTGATATTCTAAATTATGTGTTCTTAGAATTTGGTGGACTAAGCTTTCAACATACATGTACATTTGATAAATCAGTAAGGGTTTTTTTGTGACGCCACTGTTTATTTTGTTAGATATTCAAATGAAATGAAATTCATGCAAGGGACATCGCATCAACGAATACTATTCAGAGCCACGTCTTATTCAGTGGTAAAATGCTAAAATCTATTTCGCAAACGTGATGAATTAAGCTTTCAAAAAGTGAGCTGCACGTATTATCATTCTTATATATCCATATCTCCTTTGCACGGTGCTTACATTTAAGAGTCATTCAACGCCTACATGGCTGGTACCGAAATTGTTGTCTCGAACATCAATCTATCACAAATTATTCTGATTATGTTAATATCACCATTGAAAAAGTTGTATGGTCACCATAAATGATTCCAAGTTGGTGGACTATTGTACAGTGAGTGTTTCCAAATCAACTGGATATCCGTAATGTTCCAGGACCGGATTTGACCCATGGATATTACAAATTAAATCAGAAGCGTAATCGAGTAGTACTAGTACAATGTATTTGCACGCTTTTTCCTTAATATGTCGATTCGGTCGTATTTTGTCCATATTTTGATTGTATTGTTATGCAGTCGTTTCGGTTCCGATTTTAACATACACAAGGACGACTAAAAGTTTTTTTTTTCTTGTTCTTAAGTTTTCTACTACATGTATTTCTTTTGTTATAATTATAATTACATTTCAGGCGATTGCACCCATAGAATTAATTAAGGACGGCATAGATATAGCTACATTTTTTACATATATAGACAAATGCGAAAGTACAAATAAAAAAAGATATCTATATATATATATATATATATATATATATATATATATATATATATAAGTCTAAATTGGAAACAACGTTCAAACCTATGATTGTGTTGGATAAAAACCGCAATTTTTATACGTGTGCATGCAAAACAAATTTCTATATAATAAAGATCCATTTTGTTACATCTTCTGATCCGTTTATTTGGACATCGCCAATGGCAGTCAGCAGGCTTTAAGAACATCCATTGTTCGACCTGTTAGTCAAATGCGTTTTGTTTAAATATACTTTTTTACTTTTTTGGTCTTTAGGAAAATGTTGTTTGTGCTGTATTTAGACCCCTCTACCAAGAAATTTGTTTTGCATGCACACGTATAAAAATTGCGGTTTTTATCCAACGCAATCATGGGTTATATATATATATAAGTCTAAATTGAAAACAACGTTCAAATCTATGATTGCGTTGGATAAAAACCGCAATTTTTATACGTGTGCATATATATATATATATATATAGATTCTACCACTGCATCGAGTGTGATACGATATTTATCCACTCGAGACAGTTAAATTTTCAAATTTAAAACGCGAGTCTCGCCGAGCGTTTTAAATATTTAAAATTTAACTGTCGAAAGTGGATAAATATCGTATTACACGAGATTTGGTGGTGGAATCTGTTTCTCTAATGATTTTCAAACAATATGCAGGCAAACTTATTCCTTCTTTTTGAATGATCTGCAAAAAGATGTGTTCTTTCTATGTGACGTCATCAGGCATGGTCGCCTCTTTTCATGCCGTCACAATAGGAAATTCAGAGGAAAGCAAGAAAATTCGACGTCATAATCGGATCTTAACCAATGAAGAACTGAGATCAAACGAACCACACGTTGATTAAATTTTTTTATACAATGGGTGCAGAAAGGGATACATTGACGAAGAATTAGAGAAATATATCTATATATATATATATATATATATATATATTTAAACGCCTTTTTTATATATATACAAGTCTAAATTGAAAACAACGTTTATATATATATTGGTATTTAATTAATAAATTAAGATCAATTTTTACATCTGGTGATCCGTTTTTTTGGCAATCGCCATGGCAGCATATGGCAAAATTTGGGGTAATTTGCTAATTTGCATAGCGGCCATTTTGCCTTATCATGACGGCAGCCATTACAATGGGATTATATAAGCCCTTTTAATAAAAATGCCAATATGCAAATACCTATGTCGAATGAACAATTTGTTCGCATATAGGTGAATTGTTCATGTTTTTAGGCTTCTGTCCGTGTACAGATGGACATTGTCTACTCTGAAATCTTTCGGCCTTTTTAGTTTAAAAATCGGAAGCGTAACCATTGTGTAATTGCTATATAAGATCAAATAAAATGACGTAAAATCGTAAAATAGCAAGATTCAAAACAGAAATACACATGCAAGAAGATACTGTTCATGATTTGTTCACATATAGGGAAACACCTTGTAGGTTGAATTTTAAAGTTAAATAACTTTTAACTTTCCTGCTTTCTTAAGTTTTCGGCCAAATTCTATTAAAAACATGATGATTTCAACCTTCCCATTTCGTAAAAAGTCAAATTTTAAGCATTTTCCCTTAGAATTACACAGCATTTTTGTAAATATCCGCCAAAGGAAGTTTTTAAAGATACATTAGTTTTAGATACATGACGGAAAAGGCTGGATTATCCGCAAATCTATAATAAATTATATTTTCAATCTTAAGCTAAGGGAAGTAATCTGATCAAAAGGGACAAAGTCACGTGGTGCAAATATTTAAATAAAGTACCTTTGATTTTGCCATATGGTCAGCAGGGTTTAAGAACATCCGTTGTTCGACCTGCTAGTCAAATGCGTTTTGTTAAAATATACTTTTTCACTCTTTTTGGTCTTTTGGAAAATGTTGTTTGTGCTGTATTTAGACCACTCTACCAAGAAATTTGTTTTGCATGCACACGTATAAAAATTGCGGTTTTTATCCAACGCAATCATAGGTTTGAACGTTGTTTTCAATTTAGACTTGTTTATATTTTTTCGTTTGGGCTTGTATTATATTTGCCTTCGGGTTTATATGATCCGTTCATCCTATTTTGACTCTTCAAAATTTAAGAGTCAATCCCAAATTGAGGTAAATTATATGGCCTTCCAAATACCGTTTCGATTCCTAACATCACTGAAGAGACATTAATTGTCGAAATCCGGATATGGTGAACAAATTTTTGCACCTCATGTTTGCGGTATACCATCTTTTCCGCAAGTTTATTGTTTTCTGTTTGGTATTTAATTAATAAATTAAGATCCATTTTTACATCTGGTGATCCGTTTTTTGGCAAACTCCATGGCAGTCAGCAGGGTTTAAGAATATCCGTTGTTCGACCTGCTAGTCAAATGCGTTTTGTTAAAATATACTTTTTCACTCTTTTTGGTCTTTTGGAAAATGTTGTTTGTGCTGTATTTAGACCACTCTACCAAGAAATTTGTTTTGCATGCACACGTATAAAAATTGCGGTTTTTATCCAACGCAATCATAGGTTTGAACGTTGTTTTCAATTTAGACTTGTTTATATTTTTTCGTTTGGGCTTGTATTATATTTGCCTTCGGGTTTATATGATCCGTTCATCCTATTTTGACTCTTCAAAATTTAAGAGTCAATCCCAAATTGAGGTAAATTATATGGCCTTCCAAATACCGTTTCGATTCCTAACATCACTGAAGAGACATTAATTGTCGAAATCCGGATATGGTGTACAAATTTTTGCACCTCATGTTTGCGGTATACCATCTTTTCCGCAAGTTTATTGTTTTCTGTTTGGTATTTAATTAATAAATTAAGATCCATTTTTACATCTGGTGATCCGTTTTTTTTGCAATCGCCATGGCAGTCAGCAGGGTTTAAGAACATCCGTTGTTCGACCTGCTAGTCAAATGCGTTTTGTTAAAATATACTTTTTCACTCTTTTTGGTCTTTTGGAAAATGTTGTTTGTGCTGTATTTAGACCACTCTACCAAGAAATTTGTTTTGCATGCACACGTATAAAAATTGCGGTTTTTATCCAACGCAATCATAGGTTTGAACGTTGTTTTCAATTTAGACTTGTTTATATTTTTTCGTTTGGGCTTGTATTATATTTGCCTTCGGGTTTATATGATCCGTTCATCCTATTTTGACTCTTCAAAATTTAAGAGTCAATCCCAAATTGAGGTAAATTATATGGCCTCCAAATACCGTTTCGATTCCTAACATCACTCAAGAGACATTAATTGTCGAAATCCGGATATGGTGAACAAATTTTTGCACCTCATGTTTGCGGTATACCATCTTTTCCGCAAGTTTATTGTTTTCTGTTTGGTATTTAATTAATAAATTAAGATCCATTTTTACATCTGGTGATCCGTTTTTTGGCAAACTCCATGGCAGTCAGCAGGGTTTAAGAATATCCGTTGTTCGATCTGCTAGTCAAATGCGTTTTGTTAAAATATACTTTTTCACTCTTTTTGGTCTTTTGGAAAATGTTGTTTGTGCTGTATTTAGACCACTCTACCAAGAAATTTGTTTTGCATGCACACGTATAAAAATTGCGGTTTTTATCCAACGCAATCATAGGTTTGAACGTTGTTTTCAATTTAGACTTGTTTATATTTTTTCGTTTGGGCTTGTATTATATTTGCCTTCGGGTTTATATGATCCGTTCATCCTATTTTGACTCTTCAAAATTTAAGAGTCAAACCCAAATTGAGGTAAATTATATGGCCTTCCAAATACCGTTTCGATTCCTAACATCACTGAAGAGACATTAATTGTCGAAATCCGGATATGGTGTACAAATTTTTGCACCTCATGTTTGCGGTATACCATCTTTTCCGCAAGTTTATTGTTTTCTGTTTGGTATTTAATTAATAAATTAAGATCCATTTTTACATCTGGTGATCCGTTTTTTTGGCAATCGCCATGGCAGTCAGCAGGGTTTAAGAACATCCGTTGTTCGACCTGCTAGTCAAATGCGTTTTGTTAAAATATACTTTTTCACTCTTTTTGGTCTTTTGGAAAATGTTGTTTGTGCTGTATTTAGACCACTCTACCAAGAAATTTGTTTTGCATGCACACGTATAAAAATTGCGGTTTTTATCCAACGCAATCATAGGTTTCAACGTTGTTTTCAATTTAGACTTGTTAATATTTTTTCGTTTGGGCTTGTATTATATTTGCCTTCGGGTTTATATGATCCGTTCATCCTATTTTGACTCTTCAAAATTTAAGAGTCAATCCCAAATTGAGGTAAATTATATGGCCTTCCAAATACCGTTTCGATTCCTAACATCACTGAAGAGACATTAATTGTCGAAATCCGGATATGGTGAACAAATTTTTGCACCTCATGTTTGCGGTATACCATCTTTTCCGCAAGTTTATTGTTTTCTGTTTGGTATTTAATTAATAAATTAAGATCCATTTTTACATCTGGTGATCCGTTTTTTTGGCAAACTCCATGGCAGTCAGCAGGGTTTAAGAATATCCGTTGTTCGACCTGCTAGTCAAATGCGTTTTGTTAAAATATACTTTTTCACTCTTTTTGGTCTTTTGGAAAATGTTGTTTGTGCTGTATTTAGACCACTCTACCAAGAAATTTGTTTTGCATGCACACGTATAAAAATTGCGGTTTTTATCCAACGCAATCATAGGTTTGAACGTTGTTTTCAATTTAGACTTGTTTATATTTTTTCGTTTGGGCTTGTATTATATTTGCCTTCGGGTTTATATGATCCGTTCATCCTATTTTGACTCTTCAAAATTTAAGAGTCAATCCCAAATTGAGGTAAATTATATGGCCTTCCAAATACCGTTTCGATTCCTAACATCACTGAAGAGACATTAATTGTCGAAATCCGGATATGGTGTACAAATTTTTGCACCTCATGTTTGCGGTATACCATCTTTTCCGCAAGTTTATTGTTTTCTGTTTGGTATTTAATTAATAAATTAAGATCCATTTTTACATCTGGTGATCCGTTTTTTTGGCAAACTCCATGGCAGTCAGCAGGGTTTAAGAACATCCGTTGTTCGACCTGCTAGTCAAATGCGTTTTGTTAAAATATACTTTTTCACTCTTTTTGGTCTTTTGGAAAATGTTGTTTGTGCTGTATTTAGACCACTCTACCAAGAAATTTGTTTTGCATGCACACGTATAAAAATTGCGGTTTTTATCCAACGCAATCATAGGTTTGAACGTTGTTTTCAATTTAGACTTGTTTATATTTTTTCGTTTGGGCTTGTATTATATTTGCCTTCGGGTTTATATGATCCGTTCATCCTATTTTGACTCTTCAAAATTTAAGAGTCAATCCCAAATTGAGGTAAATTATATGGCCTTCCAAATACCGTTTCGATTCCTAACATCACTGAAGAGACATTAATTGTCGAAATCCGGATATGGTGTACAAATTTTTGCACCTCATGTTTGCGGTATACCATCTTTTCCGCAAGTTTATTGTTTTCTGTTTGGTATTTAATTAATAAATTAAGATCCATTTTTACATCTGGTGATCCGTTTTTTTGGCAATCGCCATGGCAGTCAGCAGGGTTTAAGAACATCCGTTGTTCGACCTGCTAGTCAAATGCGTTTTGTTAAAATATACTTTTTCACTCTTTTTGGTCTTTTGGAAAATGTTGTTTGTGCTGTATTTAGACCACTCTACCAAGAAATTTGTTTTGCATGCACACGTATAAAAATTGCGGTTTTTATCCAACGCAATCATAGGTTTGAACGTTGTTTTCAATTTAGACTTGTTTATATTTTTTCGTTTGGGCTTGTATTATATTTGCCTTCGGGTTTATATGATCCGTTCATCCTATTTTGACTCTTCAAAATTTAAGAGTCAATCCCAAATTGAGGTAAATTATATGGCCTTCCAAATACCGTTTCGATTCCTAACATCACTGAAGAGACATTAATTGTCGAAATCCGGATATGGTGAACAAATTTTTGCACCTCATGTTTGCGGTATACCATCTTTTCCGCAAGTTTATTGTTTTCTGTTTGGTATTTAATTAATAAATTAAGATCCATTTTTACATCTGGTGATCCGTTTTTGGCAAACTCCATGGCAGTCAGCAGGGTTTAAGAATATCCGTTGTTCGACCTGCTAGTCAAATGCGTTTTGTTAAAATATACTTTTTCACTCTTTTTGGTCTTTTGGAAAATGTTGTTTGTGCTGTATTTAGACCACTCTACCAAGAAATTTGTTTTGCATGCACACGTATAAAAATTGCGGTTTTTATCCAACGCAATCATAGGTTTGAACGTTGTTTTCAATTTAGACTTGTTTATATTTTTTCGTTTGGGCTTGTATTATATTTGCCTTCGGGTTTATATGATCCGTTCATCCTATTTTGACTCTTCAAAATTTAAGAGTCAATCCCAAATTGAGGTAAATTATATGGCCTTCCAAATACCGTTTCGATTCCTAACATCACTGAAGAGACATTAATTGTCGAAATCCGGATATGGTGTACAAATTTTTGCACCTCATGTTTGCGGTATACCATCTTTTCCGCAAGTTTATTGTTTTCTGTTTGGTATTTAATTAATAAATTAAGATCCATTTTTACATCTGGTGATCCGTTTTTTTGGCAAACTCCATGGCAGTCAGCAGGGTTTAAGAACATCCGTTGTTCGACCTGCTAGTCAAATGCGTTTTGTTAAAATATACTTTTTCACTCTTTTTGGTCTTTTGGAAAATGTTGTTTGTGCTGTATTTAGACCACTCTACCAAGAAATTTGTTTTGCATGCACACGTATAAAAATTGCGGTTTTTATCCAACGCAATCATAGGTTTGAACGTTGTTTTCAATTTAGACTTGTTTATATTTTTTCGTTTGGGCTTGTATTATATTTGCCTTCGGGTTTATATGATCCGTTCATCCTATTTTGACTCTTCAAAATTTAAGAGTCAATCCCAAATTGAGGTAAATTATATGGCCTTCCAAATACCGTTTCGATTCCTAACATCACTGAAGAGACATTAATTGTCGAAATCCGGATATGGTGTACAAATTTTTGCACCTCATGTTTGCGGTATACCATCTTTTCCGCAAGTTTATTGTTTTCTGTTTGGTATTTAATTAATAAATTAAGATCCATTTTTACATCTGGTGATCCGTTTTTTTGGCAAACTCCATGGCAGTCAGCAGGGTTTAAGAACATCCGTTGTTCGACCTGCTAGTCAAATGCGTTTTGTTAAAATATACTTTTTCACTCTTTTTGGTCTTTTGGAAAATGTTGTTTGTGCTGTATTTAGACCACTCTACCAAGAAATTTGTTTTGCATGCACACGTATAAAAATTGCGGTTTTTATCCAACGCAATCATAGGTTTGAACGTTGTTTTCAATTTAGACTTGTTTATATTTTTTCGTTTGGGCTTGTATTATATTTGCCTTCGGGTTTATATGATCCGTTCATCCTATTTTGACTCTTCAAAATTTAAGAGTCAATCCCAAATTGAGGTAAATTATATGGCCTTCCAAATACCGTTTCGATTCCTAACATCACTGAAGAGACATTAATTGTCGAAATCCGGATATGGTGTACAAATTTTTGCACCTCATGTTTGCGGTATACCATCTTTTCCGCAAGTTTATTGTTTTCTGTTTGGTATTTAATTAATAAATTAAGATCCATTTTTACATCTGGTGATCCGTTTTTTTGGCAAACTCCATGGCAGTCAGCAGGGTTTAAGAATATCCGTTGTTCGACCTGCTAGTCAAATGCGTTTTGTTAAAATATACTTTTTCACTTTTTTTGGTCTTTTGGAAATGTTGTTTGTGCTGTATTTAGACCACTCTACCAAGAAATTTGTTTTGCATGCACACGTATAAAAATTGCGGTTTTTATCCAACGCAATCATAGGTTTGAACGTTGTTTTCAATTTAGACTTGTTTATATTTTTTCGTTTGGGCTTGTATTATATTTGCCTTCGGGTTTATATGATCCGTTCATCCTATTTTGACTCTTCAAAATTTAAGAGTCAATCCCAAATTGAGGTAAATTATATGGCCTTCCAAATACCGTTTCGATTCCTAACATCACTGAAGAGACATTAATTGTCGAAATCCGGATATGGTGTACAAATTTTTGCACCTCATGTTTGCGGTATACCATCTTTTCCGCAAGTTTATTGTTTTCTGTTTGGTATTTAATTAATAAATTAAGATCCATTTTTACATCTGGTGATCCGTTTTTTTGGCAAACTCCATGGCAGTCAGCAGGGTTTAAGAACATCCGTTGTTCGACCTGCTAGTCAAATGCGTTTTGTTAAAATATACTTTTTCACTCTTTTTGGTCTTTTGGAAAATGTTGTTTGTGCTGTATTTAGACCACTCTACCAAGAAATTTGTTTTGCATGCACACGTATAAAAATTGCGGTTTTTATCCAACGCAATCATAGGTTTGAACGTTGTTTTCAATTTAAACTTGTTTATATTTTTTCGTTTGGGCTTGTATTATATTTGCCTTCGGGTTTATATGATCCGTTCATCCTATTTTGACTCTTCAAAATTTAAGAGTCAATCCCAAATTGAGGTAAATTATATGGCCTTCCAAATACCGTTTCGATTCCTAACATCACTGAAGAGACATTAATTGTCGAAATCCGGATATGGTGTACAAATTTTTGCACCTCATGTTTGCGGTATACCATCTTTTCCGCAAGTTTATTGTTTTCTGTTTGGTATTTAATTAATAAATTAAGATCCATTTTTACATCTGGTGATCCGTTTTTTTGGCAAACTCCATGGCAGTCAGCAGGGTTTAAGAACATCCGTTGTTCGACCTGCTAGTCAAATGCGTTTTGATAAAATATACTTTTTCACTCTTTTTGGTCTTTTGGAAAATGTTGTTTGTGCTGTATTTAGACCACTCTACTAAGAAATTTGTTTTGCATGCACACGTATAAAAATTGCGGTTTTTATCCAACGCAATCATAGGTTTGAACGTTGTTTTCAATTTAGACTTGTTTATATTTTTTCGTTTGGGCTTGTATTATATTTGCCTTCGGGTTTATATGATCCGTTCATCCTATTTTGACTCTTCAAAATTTAAGAGTCAATCCCAAATTGAGGTAAATTATATGGCCTTCCAAATACCGTTTCGATTCCTAACATCACTGAAGAGACATTAATTGTCGAAATCCGGATATGGTGTACAAATTTTTGCACCTCATGTTTGCGGTATACCATCTTTTCCGCAAGTTTATTGTTTTCTGTTTGGTATTTAATTAATAAATTAAGATCCATTTTTACATCTGGTGATCCGTTTTTTTGGCAAACTCCATGGCAGTCAGCAGGGTTTAAGAACATCCGTTGTTCGACCTGCTAGTCAAATGCGTTTTGTTAAAATATACTTTTTCACTCTTTTTGGTCTTTTGGAAAATGTTGTTTGTGCTGTATTTAGACCACTCTACCAAGAAATTTGTTTTGCATGCACACGTATAAAAATTGCGGTTTTTATCCAACGCAATCATAGGTTTGAACGTTGTTTTCAATTTAGACTTGTTTATATTTTTTCGTTTGGGCTTGTATTATATTTGCCTTCGGGTTTATATGATCCGTTCATCCTATTTTGACTCTTCAAAATTTAAGAGTCAATCCCAAATTGAGGTAAATTATATGGCCTTCCAAATACCGTTTCGATTCCTAACATCACTGAAGAGACATTAATTGTCGAAATCCGGATATGGTGTACAAATTTTTGCACCTCATGTTTGCGGTATACCATCTTTTCCGCAAGTTTATTGTTTTCTGTTTGGTATTTAATTAATAAATTAAGATCCATTTTTACATCTGGTGATCCGTTTTTTTGGCAATCGCCATGGCAGTCAGCAGGGTTTAAGAACATCCGTTGTTCGACCTGCTAGTCAAATGCGTTTTGTTAAAATATACTTTTTCACTCTTTTTGGTCTTTTGGAAAATGTTGTTTGTGCTGTATTTAGACCACTCTACCAAGAAATTTGTTTTGCATGCACACGTATAAAAATTGCGGTGTTTATCCTACGCAATCATAGGTTTGAACGTTGTTTTCAATTTAGACTTGTATATATATATATATATATATATATATATATATGGCTAATTAAAATGCTAAATAGAAGGTAATTTCCTTGCTGCAAATAGTATTTTATTGAAGTTATGGTTTGATGATCAAAACATGTTCCACCATTTATCCCATGACGTGATGCTTTAGATGTAAAATTTAAAGTGATCTTGGCCTCTGGGCGTTGGTCAAGGTTGTTGTCAAGATAATCGATTATAAAGACATAAGGCCTTTCGGTCGATTATCGTACGTACTTAAGACACGAAAATAAACAAATCAAAATCATTAGACTTGAAACATCATTTTTTTTTATCAATATTTATACAGGTATATGATAAAGCAATTGTTGGGCCCTTTCAAGCAATTTCCATCGTTTATATTTTTTCTATCTGTAACGGCGTTCGAGACTCTTCTGTGTTTTGGAGATAATTCGTAAAGAAAAGAGTTTGGTGTCGTGTTCTGTTTTTTTAATAAGTTTACATATAACCGGTATGATGGTTCAAAACATCAAAATGTTGTGACATCTTTGCGAGACAGCTGGGCGGAAAATATCTATTATAATAATAATTATTTATAAAAATAATAATTATAATATTCGAACCAAATATAATAAGATCTTAATGGTAAAAAGGGAAACAACATAATATATTAAAAAAGAGTTTGTAATAGAAAGAACCTCTTTTTTTACCAATATTTATATAAAATTGAACACATTAAAAATAATTTCGTTTGTTGCAGCATTAGATTCCTCAGACAATACAATTTAAAACTTCTAGACATGGTGGTTTATTGTTGTGGGTTTTTTTTTTTTGTAATATTTATAATAAAGAAATAGTCATTCCGTTGGTTTTTCCCGTTTGAATGGTTTTACACCAGTAATTTTCGGGGCCCTTTATAGCTTGCTGTTCGGTGTGAGACAAGGCTCTGTGTTGAAGACCGTATTTTGACCTATAATGGTTTACTTTTATAAATTTTGACTTGGATGGATGTCGTCTCATTGGCACTCATACCACATCTTCTTATATCGAGTTGTTGAAATGAAACTTCTGAATATATAACACCTTAGGCCACACCAATTTGATTAATAGTTCTTTGGATTTTCCCGCTCCTGTTTTGGAGAAATTGACTTTTCAATAACAAAAAATAATTACCGCTTCCGCAAATTGTTTGGCCGCATGCCGCTCCAAAATTAGTTTCTCCTTGAATTTTTTTTACACAAACGTTTTTCATGTGCATATGTTAGCGGCAACAAGTTAAATTATGCATTAAGCTTGAATCCTAGCCAATAAGTTAACGCCTAGGCATTAAGTTATTGCCTGAAATTTTCAGTCATTAAGTTTATTTCCTGAATTATAATGATGACTATTCAGCCTATTGCCAAACATCATTTCAGGCAATAAGTGAATTTTAGGATTTTTTTTTAATCTTCCAAGTAGATATACAATCGATAAATTGTTCTTGATTTAAAGTATTTTTTAAATTGTATTCCAAATATTGATATACACTTGGTCATTTTATCCGAAGAGTTCAACAGTAGAGGACTGGTTGATTTAATGGATTTCCAATTAAACCAAAATGGAAGCTATAAATGTCTTATAGCATACCAAAATCAACTTAAAAAAGTTTTTAACATTAGATTGTGTACGTCAAAATAAGCTGAAATAGAGGTGACTTTTGTTTTAATTAAGGGTTTCATATTTTTAATGTTTTTATTTTTTAGCGCGTCCCATAAACTGCATTATAACAATGGTCGTGAATTTACAGCTTTGGTTATACCCGAGTTTAAAAATAAAGTGGTCAGAACTGGTGACTTTTTAAACTTCAGTTCTTATCATGTTATTATGTACCAAATGTGTTTTAATTTTGAACAAATGGTTTCTTTTTATTTACTAGCATTTACATTTTAGGCATTAAGATTAATGCCCGGACACATTTTTTCAGGATTTAAGCTTAAATCCTAGGATTTAAGATTAATACCTAACACTATTTAGGCAATAGACTTATTGCCTAGGCGTTAGCTTATTGACTAGGATTTAAACTTAATGCCTAATTTCACTTATTGCCGCTAACACATATATTGCTTCGATCGATTCAAACGCACGTGTGATAAATCGATGTATAAATAATAGGTCAAAAATCGGGATGCCAACATGTAGTTGTGTCAGCTCATTGCCATGGACATGTAGTTATTGAACACACATTTATTCGAAATGCATCTCGTTTTACCTATAAGGCTGTTCTTAGAGACAAAAATTAAAAATCTGTCGTTAGATGACCATGATCACATCAACATTTGTAAGAACCATCGTCATCCCGATCACAGGCACTAGACGTTCTATCAATATTAAAAGCTCTTTTATATACATGGACACTATTTTCTTCCCATTGCCCATATTTCATTATTATTGATAGAACGTCTAGTGTCTGTGCACCGATCATTGTTTCAACAGACATAGACCTATCTATCTTGGATGAAATTAATATTAAATTCCCATGAATTTTTAAAAAATCACAGATTTACCTTATTTTGATGAAACCCCATATCCTCTTGTTGGTCTATTGACGTGCAAACAGAACTCTTTTGTAAGGGAAAATTTAAGAGTTCCAACGTTCGAGACCAAAGTGGTGGTATTGTGATTGGCATGCTCATAATAATTAGGAATGTATAATTAGTTCAACCACTTCCTGTCAAGCTAAAGAGTATAAAATGCATTGCAGCTTTTAGGAGCAAAAGGAAAGAGTATTTTGATCAGTCAGAAAAATGCATGTGAATGTACTGACAGGTATTTTAAAGGAATATTTTAATACATTGAGGTCTACATGCATAGCAATAAAACTATCTTACTCATGATGTTGTTGAAATATTCACCTCACTCATTATGTTGATCCTTAGTATGGATAAATAGTTCCAACTGGATGTCAAGCAGCCAATAAACAATCATTCCCATATAATGAAAACAACTATTTTATTAAAAACAAGCGCATTTTTGCGCCTGTCCCAAGTCAGGAGCCTCTGGCCTTTGTTAGTCTTGTATGATTTTTAATTTTAATTCATTTATATGTTTAAAAGTTTAGTATGAGGTACATTTTCACTGAACTAGTACACATTTTTGTTAAGGGCCAAGCTGAAGCCTGCCTCCGGGTGCGGGATTTTTATCGCTGTGTTGAAAACCCATTGGTGGCCTTCGGCTGTTTTCTGCTCTTTGGTCGGGTTGTTGTCTCTGACACATTCCCCATTTCCATTCTCAATTTTACATAAAAAAAAATTTAATATTTTTCAGGGGCTTTTTTTGGGATACATACACATATTTTGATTTTATTCAACATATGTCATTTACCTAACTAATATAATTCCCCTTGTTAAACTGCATTTGCTATGCTTCCTTAATATATACACTTGGATGAATTTAAATGGAAATTCATGCAGACAAAGCTTATTTGACGAAAATAATCAAAATTAACTAAACCACAGCGAGAAAAGAAAGCCAGGTATTGTCCAGGCACCAATACATCAAAATATATGCATTAGAGCATGTTTCTCCTCCTTTTTCTATGAAATAACCCAGTTTTAACATGAACATGGATTCTAAATCGCACAATTTAAAAAAAATATATACCGCTCGCTTCGTTTGTAGAGCACTCGCCTCAAAAAAACTCATTTTCAAGAAAAAAATACAATCAAAAAA